TTTCTTTCCATCAAACTAGTAGTATAATGAAGAGAGACTAGTAGTACAATGAAGCAAGTTACCTTTCTTTTGTGGTGACACCAGGAATCAAACTCAGGACTTGCGCTTGCCAGGAAGCACTTATCTCACTGAGCTAGCTCTCCAGCCCTATTAAAATGTATGTATGTATGTATGTATATATATATATATTTTTTAATTTTATTTATGTGTGTGTGTGTGTGTGTGTGGCCAGCTCAGCCCACCAGGGGGCGGGGCTGGCTGGCATGTGGTGCTGGAGGATTGAACCACAGTCCCTGTGCTTTGCCAAGCTTGTTTCAAGTAGGTGCTTTAGACCACTGAGCCATCTCTCCAGCCCCCTAAAATATTTTTAAAACAACAGAGTAGCTAATTTGCGGAATATTTGGACTTCTCCCTCCTTCCTTTTTAGTCTCTCATCGGTCTTCCTCTTTATTTGCATATATACTTTATCCCGTACCAGAGAATGTGATATTAAGCTTGTGTGTCAGACTTGTCACTTAGTATTATGTTCTCAAGTTGCATGCACTCACGTACAAATGCCTCAAGTTTATCTTTTAATGGCAGAACGGTACCCCACTGTGTGTTCTGTGGTGAGTTCTGCGCTTTCAGGGGACACTAAAAGGATTAAATGCGTTCAAGGGCAAGATGACAAGTGAGCTGTGAGTGACCATGTCTCCTAAATAGTGACTAGAAAAACCAACAAACCACCACTAGCAAGTATTTGCAAAAGACTATCAGGCTATCAGGCCTGATAAGCCATCAGGCCAATCTCTCAACATGAGCGGGTCTAGCAGGAGCAAGATCATTAGATTTGCTTTGTGCATCCAAGAAGACAGGACTGATGGCCTATAGTTCCAGAGCAGAGAAGGCACTGGAAAGCCAGACAAATGCCAAGGGCACTGCCCTGGGAAGCAGGGTACTGGCTGTCCCAGAAGCAATCCGAAGGGGCAGGTGACTTCATCCAGGAATGCCACCCCCAGGGCTTGGCTTGATGCTTAATAACTGTCCCGCTGAGTTCTCCAGGACACCCTGTGGGAGTCCCAGGACTGCATCAAATGGCACAAAGGGGCCCTTGCCTTTTCATTCAGTGCTCCCCAAGCTGGTCTCCCACAGCCTCACCAGCAAATGAAATCAGAAGAGGGGTTCATGATCAGTCACGACATGTTTGTCCTCTACTCCCATTCTGGAAGTTTTCAAGAGGAACCAGCAGACCAGGGAGATAGCTCAGTGGCTTTAGCATTTGTCTAGCAAGTGCAAGGTCCAGTCAGTCTTTACAGCAGAGGCCTCAGGACTCAAACCTGCCCATGGGCAGCAAGCTGCAAGCGCCAGGTGAGGAAAGTCTGCTTCAACCAGAACATCACCGGTAGAAAGTGCTACTCCTGAGGTTTCCAGATGGAGATGTTTCCTTTGTCAGAGCATCATGCTCGCAGAGCGTCTCCTCCTGCCATTGATCATGGCCTGCCAGAAGCCCTGAGACACCAGACTAGCTGTCCTGGAGCCAAGAATGTACTGACTGCTTCTACTGGAAAGTACGATCCTCAAAAGCTCGGGGACACAGTTGGGACCTCCTTCCCCCACTCCATCTCTCATTCCTCAGGACTCAGACAACACTGCACATGAAGGAGACTACAACCCCCCACCTAATTCCACCATAGCAGCTTCCAGAAACAGCTGTCTGGAATCGCTGAGTAAGCAATGCCTGCAGTATACCCCTGTCACATGGCCACTGGGTGCATGGCTGGAGGGACTGAAAGGAAAGAAAGGCTTACCATCCAATTCTCTCCCAGCACCTTCGCCTGCTGACCTCATAGGTGAGTGCAGCTTCCCACAGGTCCACATCTGGGGTCATGCTTGGTTCAGACTGGGAATCAGGAGTCAAGTTGGAAGCTGACTGGAACCCTTCATCTTCCCACTGATCCACATTCTGAGGGACCTGGAAACCACAGAGAAGTACAAACCTTCGGGCCGGTGAGATAGCTCAGTGGTCTAAAGGGCCTGCTTAGGCAAAGCACAAGGACCCGGGTTTGATCCTACGCACCACATGCCACACATTCCCCAACAGGCTGAGCTGGCCACACAACCAATCAGTCAATAAATAAAAATAATGGGGCCGGGGAGATAGCTCAGTAGAATAAGCACTTGCCTAGCAAGCGCAAGGGCCTGAGTTCAATCCCCGGTTCTGAAGAAAAAAAAAAAAGGAAGTACAAATCTTCATCTGGTCCTTCATCTGAACACCGAGATGGGACAGATGTCAGAAGCTTTATCCAAGTGCTTGCACTTAACTCACTAGAGGGGCAGCCCTGGCAGACTGTTTCTTTTATTTTTCTCAAGCACATACATGTAGAATAAATCACAAAATAAAAATACATTATGGTCACTAATTTCAAGTTTCGCATAACACACATCAATATAACTTTATTTTTATTTTACTGTTTTGGGACGGAACCTTACTATGTAGCCCAGGCTACCCTTGAATTCACTGTCCTGTTGCAGCCTCCTAAGTCCTGGGATCACAGGTGCAAGCCACCACACCTGACTTAAATACTCGATAATGAAATGCCTCTCACCTGAAAGGTTCATTCTGGGAAACATAAAATCATACTGTACACACAGCAGGGCATGGAGGTGCACACCTATAATCTAACACTCAGGAAACTGAGGCAGGAGGGTTGCCACAAGTTTGAGGCCATCCTGGGCTACCATGGTGAGTCCAAGCCAACCTGCATAGTAAGACCTTATCTCAAAAAAATAAAAATATTAGACAAAGTAAAGCTTGCGTACACCAAGATGTTTACCATGGTATTATTTTTGTTTTAAAATAAACATAGTCAGGAAGTGACTAAGTAATAACAATATATCATCAGCTAGGTGTGACGCCATACACCTGCAACCCCAGCATTTGGGAGGCTGAGGCAGGAAGACTGCCACAAACTGAGGGTCAGCCTGGGCTACGTAGTGAGTTCAAGCCCATTCTGAACTACGTAGCAAGACAGTCGCAAACAAAACGAAAGAAAAATAACAGTATATCCAACACACTCAGGAATGGGAAAACTGAGGGAGCCACTCCATTCCTCTCCTTCAGCTGTGTGCACAACGCTGCTCCCGTGAGCGTCCACGTTTAAGCTTCGGAGGTCTTGATGCTTAAGCATCCTTAGTTCCAACACCAGTGTGAGACAAAATGAGAAGCACCCGAACTGAGAGGTGTTTGGCCACAACGGGAGGCACCCGATGCTAAAGGTGTCTGGCTCCGCAACCCCTGGAAGCCTGATCGTGCGCGGCTCTCCAAGAGCGCCTCCTTCTGCTGTTCCTGCTACCATCCCATGAGCTTCAAAGAATATAACTACTTACTTCAAGGTGCATGCTTGGCAATTCTTTGTCATTCACAAGAATCTGGACGACTCAGCTGTGGCCCATGCAGCCGTAACGTAAAGCAGTACCAACAACAATTTATTCAGTAACTGAGAAAAACACCCATGTTATAAGAAGAAAAAGTATCTTAAACCGTATTGTACCATAAACAAACATTTTTGTCCCAAGTGGGGGAAATATGGCTTCTGCAACTGACCAACAATTTTTTTCTTCTATTTTAATGAAATTAACAGCTGTGGAAGGCAGAAGAGGAGACGAAACAACATGCCCTGTAGGTGAGGCAAAAGGCTCTGGCCTGTACTTGGGCAGTGCTTCCCTGGGTGGTGCCCCACGCCCTCTCAGCACCTCTGCCTTGGGGCACCCTGGCCATCTGGCGAGGGGACGGGGGCCGCGCTAGCTTTACCAGGATACAACAAAGGGCAAAGACGGCATTTTCCAAACCCTCTGAGAGAAAAAAGGGAAAACAAACTCTACCTTAATGGCCAGTCCAGAAAGGTCTGCGCTGTCCGGCACAGGAGGAAGGTCCCATCGCACATCCACGTCGTAAGCGCGGCTGTGGACAAAGGCACCGTAGAGCGAGACCCGGGTATCCCTCTCAAGCCTGTCACCGCAGGGGTCACCAAATGAAAAGAGACCAACAGTGGGCAGGCCGGCGCCTGGAGCCGCGTCCATCACCTGCAGCGTTTGCTGGATCATGCTGTGACACAGATGCTCTTCTGCGGAGACGAGGGACTGCACGTCCGTTTCAAGCACGCTCAGCTCACAGCAGTCGTAGCCGCTGTACGGAACGTTTCTCCCTGCGTGCTTGTTGTTAAGGAAATAGTCCCGTTTTCTCTGCAGCAGTTGAGGGGGGCCGCTCCCCGCCAAATGGACCAAGAGTTTCAACGCGGACCCCAGCTCCAGCAGCGGACAGCAAGAGGCCGCCTCCAGCCCCGCCACCAGCTCCTCCAGGCGGTCCGCCTCGGGGCCCAGGCCCGCCGCTCTCAGGTCAAAGGACAACATAAGGACCTTGTTTCTCACGGGGAGCTTTGACAGGTCGGGCTGCAGCGGACGAGCGTCCTCCTGGAAGAGGCTCGTGAAGAGCGCATTGTAGGCGACCCTCTTGAGGCTCTGCTTGGCCCTCCTGCGGTCCGCGCTGCGCCGTCCCGGGCGAGGCTGCGCGGCGGGCAGGAGGGCCTCGCACAAGTCGTCGAACAGCTGGGTGATGCTGGCCATCACCGCCTGCGGGCAGGAGGGCGGCGGCCGAGGGCAGGCGACCTCCGCACCGAGCCCCGAGGCTCAGGACCTGCTCGTGCGCTAGTCTCCAGGCTGTCCCCTAGGGGTCGCCCGCCGCCACAAGCAACCTGGCGGACGTGACCGCACGCGGGCCGCACGCGTCGGCCTCGCACCCCTGGGGACCGGCACGCGGCGGGGTCCGCAAGTCGGGCTCGCACGCCAGCCCAGCGCCGGGCGATAGCGGGGAAGGCCCGTTCACTCTCCCGCCGCCTTGGCGTCACAGCGAGGCGACGGCCCGACGCTAGCGCCGGCGCGCAGGAACTACGTCACAGGCGGACTTCCGGCCCTCGGGAGCGGGTCGGGTGGGCGGGCGGGCTGAGGGCCCGGGACGGCTTAATAAAGGAAGCAGAGTCACGTTATTTAACGGTCGTTTACTGATGCACTGGGAGGGAGCGCGGGCGCGGCCGCAGGAAAGTTTCCTGGCGGGGCCGAGGTCTCGGGCCTCTCCAGGGATCTGCTGCAAGGCGCTCCCCGGGTGGGCGGAAGCGCGGCAGAACCGGTGGGCTCGGGGCCGCGACGCTTCTCCGCGGGCTCCGGGGCCGCCACCCGCACCATTTCCCACCGCCATTGCAGCTGCGCTCGCAGGCCCATCAGAGCCTGGAGGTCCACCCGAGAGGCCGTGGAGAATGGGCCCAGGCTGGGCGGCGCCTCTCCACACAGACCCTGGGCCAGCGCTTGTGCAAGTTGGGGTGCAGATTCCTGGGACAGAGGAGAGGCGAGGGCAGTGAGTCCCTGGTTTTGCCCGCCCTCCTCCTCATCCCCAGCCTTCCACACTTTCAGGCTCACCTCAAGGAGGGCCAGTACTCGGCCGCCTGCCGGAGCCCGGAGCATTGCAGCCAGGAGAGCAGCCTGGGGGGCCTGAAGACCATGGTCAGGCCCCAGCGCCACCAGCACCAGGTCGGGCCGGAAGCCATAGGCCATGGGCAGCACCACGCCTAAGATGCAGCTCAGAAATCCTCCAGTCGTCTGTGGGGACAGTAGCAGAGCCCAGCGCCTCAGCTGCGGGACACATCCCTGCTGGCTTCTGCCAGCCCACTTCCCAGCCCCAGAGTCCCTGGAGTCTAAGCTGGGAGCCGGAGCCAGGACAAGTGAGGCGTGTGAGTGCTCGGGAGCATGCCAGGGAGCCCCTGCGCTCCCACACAGTCACTCACCCTTGGCAATGGCATGGAGACGTGGTACATGGAAAATATGGCTGCTTCCTTGCCCCCGATATTCAGCCACAGAATTCTCCTTCAGGGAGAGAGGACCAGGGACCCGTGCACCGGAACATGGTTAGTAGAAAATTAAAGGCCACCAGTAGGGAGGGGCAGGGCAAAGGTGTGTGACTCTGGCCTGGTGTTACCACCACAGCCTCCCCCCAAACACCTGCTGAGGAAGACTGCATTCTGTACTAGCAGTGCACCACCCACAGAGGCCTGCAGTCCAAGGCCTGTCCATGCTCGTGCACCTGCATAAGTGTGACCTACAGTCATACCCATCATCAGCAAGGTCCAGTGGCCGATCCAGCTGTCCCAGCACCACACAGAGAACCCTGAGGAAGGATCAGCCAAGGCTAGGTTGTGCCACTGTCCAGAATCCATTCCCAGGACCCTCTCCATGGAGCTTTCAGGGAAGGGGACACCCATGGGCCAGGTGAAACTCACCTCTCTGCTCCACGAGACAGACCTTGCCAAATGGCTACATCCAAGGTGGCTGCTACAGCAGATGCTAAAGTGGATGCAACTCCACTGCTTACCTGTGAGGTGAGGTAACAGCGAGATCCCAGCCCAGATACCCATTCACTGAGCTTCATTCCCAGGCCCTTTTGTTTTGAGATGGGGTCTCACTAAATTGCCCCAGCTAGCCTCAAACTTGTGATCCCATTGTACCCTCCCAGAGTTCTGGGATTACAAGCATGTGCCACCACACCCAACTGATGCCATTTTCAAACTCTGATTCCATTACTGTTACTGACCTCTTACACGCCGAGGTCAAATCACTATTTCTGTAAACAAGATGCTTAAAACCAAAAATAAGGTTTATCCACTGTCCCTTTCTGTTGTAGAGCATCTCCCTGGCATGTTCTGAGTCTGATCCCTGCCCAAGGAAACACATCCCTGCCATCTGCATACACAGCCCCTCCTCAGCAACCCTACCTGCCCATCCAGAACCCTACTTAAGAGGTACAGGAACTTCCCAAGTGCAGTGAGGGTCTCATCCTGGGCCAGGGACTCATGAGACCTGTGAAGGGCAGGCCAGGACACAGACACCAGGGAACAGCAATCAGTCACACGGCAAAAGGCACACATGCATGGTACCCTCCCCAGCCTGCCCTACCCACTTGGCCCAGGCTTCTGTCTCCCACTTTGGGGCTGACTGCTGACACAGCACATCAGGGGGCAGAGCCGAGGTGCTATGTGGAGCAGTCAGAGCCACAGCCATTCGCACAGGGGGTACGGAGTAGTGGTGCTTCTGGTCCAGAAGAAGCCTTGGTAGAGGCTCTGCCTTATATACAGGGTTCCCAGGCAGCAGCAGCAGGGGCCTCTCCTCTGGAAAGTGGATGCTGGGACCCAGCCCGGGAGACACATCTACAGGAAGTTCAGAGTCAAGGTCAGTACAGAGGACCCTGAGGTGGAAGCCACCAGCCCAGGCCTAGAGTGTGCTGACCTTGCTGCTGGAGGCTCTTCCAGTGAGGGGCCTGGGCTCCTCGGACATTCTGGATGGACTCTAGGGCACTGTGGGGGGAGGCAGAGCGTGGAGTCCAACCTGTCTGGTACTCCAGGCCCTCCCACCTTCCACCGTGCTCACCTTTGACACGGCGCCATGGGCCCGGACAGGGCAGGTGTGGGGTCACCCAGCAGTGCCCGCACAGTCATGCACACTGACTGTGCCAGGGACTCCAGGTGGTAACCGCCCTGGGGAGAGTGCAGACAGGAAGGAAAGGTGCGTCCCTGGGTGGGCTCAAGGCCCTGGACAGGGCACCCCATGCCTCCGCCCAGGAGCCACCCAGCTGCCCCCTGCAGTCACCTCTAGCACTGCACAGACACGGCCACCAGCCAGCACCTGCAGCAGCTGTGTGAGGTGAGCAAAGCACTCTGGTGTGGCCTGCATCTGTCCCTGGAACCAGAGCCACATGTGAGAAGGACCTGGGCCCAGAGTGCCAGAGGCCCACCCAGACAAGCCAGGCCCTCACCTCCGGATCCCCAACCACTGAGTCAAATCCTGCTGAGACCAGCACCAACTCTGGGTCAAACTATGGGTGGAGAGACAAGAAAGACGCTGCAGCCCGGACAACAGGGAGGCCTGTCAGGCCAGCTCTCCTGAGACCCCACTCTTACAAGTCCCTGACAGCCCTCCTTCTGACTTCACAGTAGAACTCTGGGTTGGCATGAAGTGCCCTGCCCTGGGGGACACCCAGAACACAGTCACCTCAAAGGCCACTGGCAGCAGCACATGTAGGAAGGCAGCCAGGTAGTCAGCATTGGTCATCCCAACCTGCAGCAGGAAGCAGGGGAGCCATCAGCAGGCAGCGCTGCCAACTGGACTTTAGGGGTCTTCACTCTCTGGAACCTGGGCTCTGGAGGGACCTAGTGGGATCCACCAGACTATATTCTGCAGTTGGAGGAGGGGGGTACAGGCAGGAAAGTGGGCTGGGTAGAGAGAGGGTCCAGGGTTGAGAGCAGGCACCTGGTTCCAAGGCAAATTGATAGTGAAGCCACGGCCCTGTCCTTGCCCAACAGTGTCTGCGTCTGACTCTGGCAGGAAGGGCCAGAAGCGTCCGTGCTCATATCGGTGCCAGGAGAAGTAAAGGACACTGCCGAAAGCCGGCCAGGACAGAGGTCAGAGTCAGGCCCTTTGGCCACCCCATGACTTCTGAAGACCCTGACCCCTGACCACATGGCCATCTCCCCCTCTGGGTTTTTCCAGGTCACAAAAAGAGGTTGCAGGGAAGGGTCATGTTGTCAAGCTCAGCTCACCTGGGGTCATCCTCAAAGATATACTGGATGCCTTGGCCATGGTGGATATCCCAGTCAACAACGAGGATCCTGGGTTCAGATAGCGGTGGGGGTCATGGGAAGGTGGAACTTCCTGCCACCAGGCTGCAGCCCACTCAGGATGGGAAGGGGCTGGGTGGGCCTAAAGCACCTGTTCCACCCCGCCTGCCAGGGCCAGTGCCCCCAACCCTTGCAGCCAGCCTGGCACGCACCTGCACAGCCCATGTTTCCGCTTGGCATGTTCAGCTGCTATAGCCACATTGTTGAACACGCAGAACCCATTGGCAGCTGCCCTCTGGCTGTGGTGTCCAGGAGGCCTGGGGTGAGAGGGGGGTGTGGGGCACAGCGGGCTCATCCAGCCCCTCACAAGAGGAACCCGCATGAGGGTAGTGCTCACCTCACCAGAGCAAGCCCGTTGTGTGCAGTTCCTGTCAGCACAGCATCTACCAGCTGCAGTGCAGCACCTGCAGCAAGCCGGGCACAGTGAAACGTGCTCTGCAGGATAGAGGGTTCCGATCAGCCCCTGCCTGCCCTGCCTGTGACAGGCCGTGGGTCACAACTGCGAAGCACAACAGGCTAGGCTGGTCTGGTGTGCTGGTAGCAGCAGCAGCTAAGTTTGCAGGACACTGTCACAGGCACAACCCAGGGGACACAGGCAGACAGGCTGTCAGCAACGGGGCACAGAGAGGCACTTGGATACATATCTGGGTGGGTGAGCATAGACGGGGGTACCCCAAGGACACACCGGGTGGAAGTAGACAGCATCATACTGTCCAGAAAGTGCCTGGAGCTCCTCTGTCCCCAGAGTCTGGGTCCTCCGCACTAGGTCCACGTACTCTGGGCTGTAGACGGGCAAGCAGGTCATCAACAGACACGGAGAACAGAGGAGGGATTAGCGTTCCCAGTGCCAGTGTGCACGATTGTTTCCCCCAGCCCAGAGCCCAGGCTCTTCCCATGGTGAAGGAGCACGCAGGGTTAGGGCTGCTTTGGCAGGTGCTGAGAGGTGGGAGCCCAGCCTTGTGGGTTTCTCTGACCTGTGCACCAGGCTCAGCTCTGCCTCCGAGGCTTCGCGTGCTGCCACATGAAGGCATCTTTGCTCCAGGCCACACTGCCGGAGGCAGCCCAGGGCTGCAGCCAGGCGCTCAGGACTCTCGATCTTGCACTCCGGGCTGGGGCAGACACAACACTAGTGTCACGTGTGCCCTCGACAGCCCTACCCCCATTAGATCCCACTTACTCGTCCCAGAGCAGCCGAGTAGCCATCATGTCCTCGTGATACACGAGCGCGGTCCCCATGGCTACACTGTGGTCACTGTGCACTACAGTACGCTGGGATAGCACGACTTCTGCTGGTAGACGACTGTACTGCCTAACCCGGTCCCCCTTGCCGCCCGAGGACAGCTCAGAGTTTGGAATTCGGCTGAGACCGAGCCGGGAGGCAGCAGGAGGAAACACACAGGCCCAGGGCGCCCTGGGATTCCTGGCGTGGCCTCTTCTGCACTCTGGTCCCGCCCAGTTCCCCAGCACTGCCCCGCCCCTCCATACCACGCCTCTACAGCGCAGACTGCAGACTACTCCGTCCGCAGGTCCCCTGCTCCACGTCTGCTGCGGACCGGAGCCTGCAGGCTCAGGGCCCCTGCTGCGGGCTGTGACAGGGGCCTCCCGCCCTAGGCGTCTCGCGCGTGTACAGTGGCCCCGGGAGTTCCCGGGCCAGGGCTCGAGAGAGCCCGGGTCCCGAGAGGGCGCAGGAAAGCGGGAGTAGGAGGGTTGCCTGGGCCAGACGAGATCAGCACCGCAGGACCAGCCCAGGCATCAGGAAGGGGCGGTCTGGGTGCGACTCGGGCGCTGGGAAGGCTCCAGACAAAAAAGGCGGAAAGTGAGGGTAAGCACCGGCGGGACAGGACACAGCCGAGGGAGACGGCGGAGGATGAAGGCTGCGCCGTGCAGCCCTGAAGCGAGGCGACCTAAGGCCGCACACGACACCGCGAACCTCTGGGACAAGGCCTCGTGGAGGTGACAGTTCCGTGCCGCTCGAGAAGCTCACGTCCGAATCCCGAGCCCTGCCCGGCCCTGCGCCAGGGGCGCGCTCCCGCGGCCGCCAAGAACACGCCGATTGGCCGCGCAGGGTCGCGTGACATACAGACGGAGCCTGCGGCGCGAGGCCGTGCGCGCTGCACTGCGCGCCGAGGCGCCGCTAACTAACCGCGACTCGTCTAGGCGCTCCGAGCAAGAGGGTCTTCGAACGACCTGCAGAGGGCGCCGCGCGCTCGCCGGTGCCGCCCGAGAGGAGCTCGATCAGTACAAAATCCGCCCCCGGGCGCAGTCACTCAGAGGCTGTTTGTCCCCTCTCTACCCCGGAACTTTGGTCTGGAGGGAACCTGGGAACTCGGTGGGCCGCGACCACCCCCCATGCGCCGTCTGAGGGTGGGCCTTCAGGTCCCAAGCCTGGCGTGGACTCCAGGCCCGAGTTAGAGGGAAGTTGCCCCTTACACAGGAAGGGAAGGCCGGCACTTTAGTGTGGGCTGACCTTTGGATAGGCGGGGAGGTGGGCACTTCCTAAATGGACAGAGGAGGCAAGCTCAGGAGCTCCATGAATCAGAGCCATCTCATTTGTACAGGTATTAGCTGGGCTGAGCAGTGACAAGGCATCAGGCTGCACAGCCAGAGTGGGAGGTCCACAGAAAGGTTTATTTCCTTCCAGCCTGGTGGGCACAGCAAACGCCTAGTTTATACTCCTGGCTGGGGTGCAGGAGTGTCCACAATGTCCTCACACCCCAGGGGTGCCAATGTCCCTGAGTTGGTACTCTGAGCCCTCCCTCTTCCCACTCGTCGGATTGCCAGCCCTGAGGCTTTCTCCGGCATCCCGGTAGAGGGGGCTACTGCCTCGGAGGCCGTGGGGCAGCCCAGGTTGGCTGGGATCACGCTGGAGCAGGGATCAGACAGTTCACAGGCTGAGGGTCTACTCAGCCTCTCCAAGCCAGGGCAAGGGTCATAACCAGGGTTTCTCTTACAGGGGGCTCTAGAGGATACAGCTCCTCACCAGGGTCTTTAGGGTGTTCCTGAGCCACCCGGAGCTCTTCACAGGGCTGTCTCTTTGGCGGTCCTGACCCCCAACTGCCTGGGAGGCTTGAAGCAGAGCACTTCTTTATAAGTGACACCTGCAGAGGATAAGACACAGGCGACAGTTGCCCGCTGCTTCACCATGGGAGAAGTCTCCTGGGCTTTTCCGCAAATGTTTGTGCAGACTGCTAAAGAGTCAATTTTTCCAGGGAAACAGAAGGTCCAGCAGCTCCAGCAGAAGCCACAGTGTGTGTGGATGGGGACCACAGACAGGAACCTGCGGCCTGTGATTTACGTTATCTTGCTTGGCAGTAGAAGCCTTTCATCACACAGAAGCAAGACCATGACACAGCAGAGAGGCTGAGCGCCCCAGTTAGAGGTGCAGCAAGCCCTGGTTTGGGGGCTTCAGCCTGTCCAGGACTTCCCACTCCAAGTATAGGATTGTGGCCCTGGCTCTGAAGGTGACAAAAGGCTTAGGACCCAGTGGCATGGCCCGTGCTAACCTGCACCCTTGGACTTGCTGGACCCCAGGCTGAGCAGCATAACTGCCTCCCGTTCCAGAGTAGTTTGGGTAGTTTGGCTTGGATGTGAGGGAGGGTGGTTGCTGGGCCCATATGAGGCTGGTCCTCAAACAAGACGGGAAGGCCCTTGGTATAAAAGGGGTGCAGTGGGCATACAGCCTAGGGTACAGAGCAAGCCACCATAGTGGGGTATGATAGAGGGATTATAAGGGGCAGGCCTTTCCTTGTGAGAACAGGAGGGGGTCCAAATGGTCGACCAGGTGGCAGGAGTCCTGGAATGGGGCAAGAGACGGACAATTCAAGAGGTGTGAGCAGAGGCCTGGGGACAAGTGGAGGGGCTCCAGGATCTCTGGCTTAGATACTCAGGAGGCTGGGCCACTCGAAGAAGCCAGCGGGCACTGCTGCTCTAAACTCAGAGCCACTCCAGAGTTCCCAGGCTCATCCAGGAGCAGCCCTTGTCCCTTGTAGGGTTTGAGGCCCTAGCACTGCCTCACAATGGCCCAGAGGCCACATTGGCCAAGCTGCTCAGCCCTACACTCTATCCTCTTCTTCACTGGATGCCCACAGTATCTAGACACTGGCCCCGCCCACAGCCCCAGCTCACGCTTCCACTCATCCAGAGTGCGGTCCACATCATCAAAGGAGTCATCATACTTCTGGGCATTTGGCTCATCTTCTGTGTCATGCAAAGATTCAAAATAGGGGTGGGCCAGTGCCTCAGCCGCTGTCACTCGCTGCTCTGAGTCCAGCACCAGCATCTTCTCCAGGAGATTCACAGCTGGGGGACAGTCACAGGCGAAGTCACAGGGAGGTCTTGCACGCAGAGCCCCAGACTTCCCTAACACCCAGTCTCACCCATGGGACTGGCACTGGTCAGGATAGAGGCAAAGTCCTTCTTCTCCAGCTCAGGAAGGCCCTTCATGTAGTTTTTAGCCTGTGCAGGAGAAGAGTGAGGGGCCAGGCCCAGCCCCAGAGAAAGCTGGCTGGCCCACCCAGCCCCTCACAGACCTCTGTGCTCTGTAGTTTCTGCACAAACTCTTCGGGAGGCGTCCCTGTCACCTTCATGATCTCCTTCAGTTGGTCCAGGTCTGCACCAAGGTCAGGAGCACAGCACAGGGCAAGAGGGCAGGACCCGCCCCCACTCCCACGCCCCACCCCCACGCAGGCAAGAGCCCCAAAGTGCCCCATGGGAGGATACGATCACTGCCCTTGAACAGTGTCTTCCCTGTAATCATCTCTGCCATGATGCAGCCCACCGACCAGATGTCCACTGAGACAAAAGCCCCATGAGTGCCTCATGGGCAAAGGGTGGCATGCAGAGACGTGAAGGACAGGGTGGAGGGACACTGAGGGGGGGCTGGACCTGTCCACATCTTCCCTGGGCTCCCACCCCAACTCTACAGCCTCCTCAGGGTGTGGCCTCTGTGGGCTCCCCACCAAGAAATGGAGCTTGGTGGCAGAGCTGTAACCTAGCACAGATGAGAGGCCCTGGGTTCCATCCTTGGCAGAAACTGAAAACAAGGTGGGAGGCAGGTATAGCGCAGAGGCCACTGGACTGCGGTTGGGTGGGGGGGGCGGGCGCCGGCGGGACTCACCCGTCTGCGTGTAGCGCATCCAATTCAAAATGACCTCAGGTGCCCGGTACCACCGGGTCACCACATATCCTGTCATCTCACTGTCTGCCTGTCGGGCCAGGCCAAAGTCCAGGATCTGAAGAAAAAATTGGGGACCCAAGGAGTGGAAGAGACAGCATGGTCCCAGAGAACCCAAGGGACCTGGGCTTCTGCCACCCTACCAGGGCTCAGGTCAGGGCCCTGGATCCCAAGGTTTCTCCCTGGGTCCTCCCACTGGCCAGTGTACCCAGACAGACCCACCCAGGGACAGGTGCCAGAGCGCTCACCCTGCTCCACCATGCCCAGCCCAGGTTGGGGGATCTCTACAGCCTGGCCTGGGTCAAGCATGGGAACAGAGTGCCCCCCACCTGAGGCAGGTACGGAATGTGCCCAGTGGCACTCCAAGTACCTCCTCATGCCTTCAGCAGCTCAGCCTGAGCCCAAATGCCCTGGGTCTTTGCCTCTGCCTAGCAGGTAGACAGGACCCCGAACCCTGCCCTGGCCATCCTCCCCTCCAGCCACACCTTCAGCTCACAGTCCTCGTTCACAGCCAGGTTGCCAGGTTTCAGGTCCTAGGCAGAGGAGAGGTCACTGTGCCCTATGACCTGAGCATATGCAGGGCCAAGGGCTGGTGTGATACCCACAGGGCCACCGGACAGGGCCTGACTGGCCCTTTGACCCTACAGCCCTTCAAGGGTTGCTCACAATGGGACCATGCATGGGGCCCCATATGCACCCCCAAGCAGACACCCCACTGTACCCCTCTTACATGTGGGAAATGGAGACGGGGATGGAGCCGCTCTCATGCTCACAGCCTGGGAAGGGGACTTACCCTATGGATGACTCCAGTAGCATGGATATACTGTGGGGAGGAGCCGGCAGCTGTCAGTGCAGGGACCCCCCACCAGAGCCCTGCCAGCCCCTTCCCCTGGCTACCCCTGCAGGCCCCCACCTTCAGCCCCTTCAGAATCTGATACACAAGGAACTGGATGCGGTCCTCACTCAGTGTCTCATGCTTCATGAGCTTGCCCAGATCTGTGCCCATGAATGGCATCACCAGATAGCTGTGGGAAGGGGCTGGGGCATTAGTGGACAGGGCCCAGGCTCAGACCCTAGAAGACCCACCCTAAAAGGGGCTCCCCCAAGTGCCCCCCTGCAACAGCCATCCTGCCAGCCTCAGGGCTGCCACCACCCCTACCATGCTATGCCAGGCTCTATCCACCGGGCCCCACCTGTCACTCTCAGAATGATCCCACCTTCTCAAACATGCACCCACCATACCCACTCCAGCCTCCCCACCCCCAGCATGGAGCACTATGGTTTTTGAACATCCAGCTGAAGGGGCCAGTACAGAGGGCCTGGAGGGGACCCTTGTGTCTGAAGTATGGGCTTACAAGGGGAGGGGAAGATGGGGGAGTGGCATTAGCAACCCCAAAGGACATTGGGTCTGGTGTGGGACCTTGATCTCTGCCAGTCAGGCAACAAGGACCTTGCTGCCCCCTCAGCCCTTCCTAGACCCACCCGGGCTTCCCGCCAACTGCAGTCTAAGCCCAGCGGAACACCACACAGGACAGGCTCCTAAGAGCAGGGGCAGGGCAGGCCTCCTAGCTATGTCTGCCCTCTCTGTCAACAAAGGTCAGCAGCTTTGGTTTCAGCTCATGCACTGGTGCCAGGGTCGCGAGCACGGGCCCTGCCTGTTCACAAACACCAAGTCCAAGGTTCACACCTCTGGCACTGTGAGGGGCCAGGTGTCAGTCATAGAGACGGCAGAAGGCCCCAGATCCACCAAGCCCCAGGAGCAGTAGGGATGTAGCGCAGACTGTGATGTAAGGTGGCCCACAAGCCAACCCAGAACTTGAAGGAAGCCCCCACCCTGGAGCCACTCATGCCTCCCCCAGCCTGCCTGGCAGGCCCAGGTGGCACTCACAAGTCTGTAAACTCATCCAGCGTCTCATCAGGAGTGAACACATCCAGGAGCCCGATCACCTGGAGGCAGGGTATTGGGCAGAGTTGGGGACACACAAATGATGTTGGTCCCAGCACAGCCCCCAGGGTGGCAGGACCCTCCTCCCCTGCAGCTGTCCTTGTCTGTGCCCACTGGCAGCATGGCACAGCCCTGGCACACTTCCCCACAGACCCAGACTATTTTTGGATGGTGACAGCGAGGATCCTCTCAGGAAGGGGCAGCCCCATGTCTGGACTAGCTCCCAGGAGTCCCAGAAGGCCAGCTCTTTTGCCTTCCCTCTGACTTGTTCTGCCCAACCAAGCCAACTCAGGACCAAGATGGGCTCAGCCCCTTGGGAAGAGCCAGCATCGAGTAGGTCCCTCTGGGAGCAAGGTCAGGCGGCAGCACAGTGACCAGCCAGACCTGAGCACGTGGAGATTCAGGTTAAAGGAGACATCAGCCAGCCACTGTGACACTGGCTACCCTAGGACTGGAGAGTGACAGGGTGTGTACGGGCCCTGAGGGCTGTGCATGGAGCAGCTGGAGGGCCAGGTGGGTGTGGCAGCGGAGGTCACACACAGTGGCTGAGGCTGGAGGGAGAACCCCTTGAGTTTGAGGAGCAGGGTGTGCATGTGCATGTGTGTAGAGAGCGCAGGAGGGCCAAGGCCCAGGCCAGGAGGAGCCAATGAGAGGGCAGAGAGGGGCCAGGGCAAGACTCATATATGCACATACATAAAGTCTGGCTTCGTTTCCAAGAGCCACAGCAAAAGGGTTTAAAGCAGGGTGTGACAGTGAACATGAGCCCCTAGCTGCCTTGTGGGCACACAGTGGAATGAACAGAAAGGCCAGGAGGTGGAGGACAGCTGGGTGATCCCATGAGGCCAGAATGCAAGGAAGCAAAGGGCCTGGTGGAGTGCCCAGCAAAGCTCCAGGACAGGGAACCAGGTCCTGAAGGCTAAGGTAGTTCTGTCAGAGGGACAAAATTTCTGCCCCTCTGATAAAGACAGAGGCCCAGAGCAGGAAGGAAGGAGGCCCAAAGTGACCAAGGAAGATCATGTGGCAGGTCCCTGTCCCGAGTGGAGCACTCAGCCTTTCTGGGCTTCAGTTTCCCCATAGGAGTGGGGTATGGTAGGCAGAGGCTCCCAGCTTAGGTTCAAGACATCCTGGAGGCAGCAGTGTCCAGCTGCAGATAGGGCCGAGGCCTAGTGGGGAGAGTAGGCCCTTAGCACCATGTGGGTGACCCCAACGGGTCAAGGCCTGGGGGCAGGTATAGACATGGAGGCCTGGTCACAAATGGACATCATACAGAAAGGCCGGGCCAAGCCCAGGGCCAGGGCAGACATGGGGTGCCTAAGAGGACAGGAGATCCACCAAAGAGGCTACATAGGGCCAAGAGTCATAGGGCTCTGTCAATCTGTGGACACAGGGCCTCATTCTCCCAAGGACTGGCAGCCCTAAAGCCTGGGTATGGCTGCCCAGACATCAGGGAGGAGCTGAATGCACCGTTACAGGAAAAGCTGTAAGAAAGAGCTCCTCAAAATGAGAGCTGCTCTTACAGTCAGTAGTGGCCACTTGAGAGGCCCAGGCGCAGTGCTGTGGCATCTCATAGACAGGTCTGGAAAGAGATCCACCCTGACCTGGCAGTGACTGTGTGATGCTCTCTAAGCACCAGCTCCCAAGCCCTCTTCAATCCCTGGGGCAGTGATGGTGAACATTTTATAGCTTTCAACGACACAAACAGCCCACTGTGGCACGGTTCTACTTTGGCAGTCAAAAAGCCTGGCCTTTCCCTGTATTGTGGGGGGCCACCTGCTTTGGGAGAGGGGTATCAGGGCTGAGGAGGCCTAAAGTGTGGAAGAGGCAGATGCCCCTCCAGGACGACCCTCCTCTGCCTAGGAACGTGCTCTCTGACCTGGAGGACAGGCTCAGATGTAGGAGGGAAGGTCAGGCCACAAGTCAACGTCACACAGAAAGAGGTCCAAGCCAAGGGCCACCCCACCACGGTAAAAGCTGGAGGACCCCTGACTTGGGCATGTCACTGCCCCTCGACCGGGGCGTGGGCTGGAGCCAGACACAGCCCTAAGCCAAGCCGAGGAGCAGAGGGGGTCCGGCTGTGGGGCCCTCACTCCCTCCTGGTGCGCAGGCTGCCTGGGCTGTGCAGCGCCGGGGTGGGCAGTCCTGGCGGGCGCGCGCACTCACGTTCTCGTGCCGCATGTGCTTGAGCAGACGCAGCTCGCGGTAGGCGCGCTTGGCGAACAGCTCGGACTGGAAAGGCCGGTACAGCTTCTTGATAGCCACCTTGGCGCCGGAGCGGCTGTCCACGGCCGAGCTGCGGGCGGGCAGGCAGGCGGACTGGGACTTAGCGCGGCCCCGCGCCCCTGACCGCCGCCCGCCGCCCCGCGCTCACCACACGGCGCCGTAGGCGCCCGAGCCCACGGACTGCAGGTCCTGGTACTCGGCGCGCACCGTCCACATTGTCTTTGCCACCTCCTGGCGGTAAAAGCCCTTGCGCACGGGCGGCGGCGAGCTCATCGCGCCGGCCCACGCGGAACTGGGCCCACCCGGCACCCGACCGCACACTGCGCGCCGCTCCGCTCCGCGGTGGTCTCCTTGGCTCCGGCCAGCGGCTCCGGCCCCTCCCCCGCCCGCGGACCAACCGGCCCCCGCGCCCCGCACACGTGACCCGGTGCTCTGCCCCTCCGGAAATCCGAGGCCGCCGGTGTGGCCTGGCTGGGGGGTTGAGGGGATGAGGGAGGGCGCGTGGCCCCACCCCCGACCTCCGCCCTGGGTGTGATCAGGGTCTCCGGTACTTACTAACCCCCCAGAGAGGGGCACTGGGCCCAGCCTAAACAGCCTGAGCCCATTGGCTTTCACCCTCATCCTGCCGTCGCTATCACTTGCCCAACACCATTCCTGTCGCAGCCCCCCTAGCCCCCACCTTCTGGCCTATGTTCTGAAAATTACTCTCCTACTCTACCTCCAAGAATGCCCCCCACCCCCGCTCTGGGGCTGGTTGTGTCCAGTGGGGGGGTCTCCCCCTTTCCATAGGAAGGTCTGCTGTCCTACACTCAGCGTGCATCTCTAACCTCATCTCTGAGGTTGTCGTCAACCCCCAGGAGCAGAAAGCTGGTACTCGGTAGGTCTACCAGGGCTCTTTGCCACCCACATCTCTCCCTGCCTGGCATGTGGGGTGCCTCCTCCAAGCATCTGGGGCCCCACTCGTCGTGCACAGACCCTCCTTCAAAGCCCATTCCTGAAGTTGTGTCTGCCAGATGTCAGCCTGAGGGGGCACATGGAGCGCCCCCCCCCAGGAACCCACTGGGCCGGAGGTAACAAGATCCCCGGGGGGCCTACCCCGCCCGCCTGCCATGAATCAGCAGCTCGGCAGCCAGACTGGGCCAGGACAGCTTTGCACCTGGACAGCTATGGCTGGTGACTGGCCCATTCAGAAGTTGCCTCTGACAGCCAGCAGAGGCAGCCTGGGGCCACTCAGACTATAGACACCTGTGTGCTGTACCCTTTGTGCCCTCCAGGTAGCCCCTATGCTGTCCTTAATCTCTGTGGGGGCCCACGAGCCAGTGTCAGATCAGGCTCCCAAGATGGGGCAGGACACTGCTCCACTCTATCATACATGTCCAAACACAGGACTTGGCCCATCCTGGTTTTCAGGGCTGCCCCCCAGGACCAGCCCAACATTGCCCATGCTTCTGGAGATCCAGGACACAAAACCAGAGCACACACAGCCTGTACCCAATCATGAGGCGCAGGAGCAGCAGCTATCCTTGAATCCCTTTGTTCTTAAACAGGAAGGAAAAAGCAGCTATTTCTGATACTCAGGTCTAGCTGCCAGGGCAGCCCAGACCTGACTCCCACAGGCAGCCACTGACACCAGCCAGTTACCCTGAACACTGAGTGAGGGGAGAGACAGCACCTAGGCCAGGACCCAGTGTCCCTCCATACAGGGCAGGTGTGGTCAGTGAATGGCCATCACACCCAATTCCCCTCAGAGTTGTCCTCATCCTCCCTGGTCCCTCAGGCCCAGGGAGCAGCAAGGGTGCTGATGGTCTCCCTGGAGGACCACAGAGTCTAGCCGGTGTGGATCACGGGGAGCCAGACGACCTGAAGGTGTGCAGTGCGGAGATCTGGCTAGCTGCTGCCTCCAAGCAGCAGGGACTGTGAATGTGCGGTCTGGAATCTGGGACACAGACTGAACAAGAGGGAACCCCCTTTATTGTGCACCCCTGGTGCAGGCACTTGACATCTGGCCCTCCCTGGGTCCCTGGAGGCAAGAGGTCACCCCCTCTCCAGAGAGGAGTCACTCCCCTAATATATCTCTAAGCAGGGTTCCATCCCAGAGATTACCGGTCAGCTCCTTTTAGAGAGAAGGGAAGACAAGGGCTGGCCCACATACCAGAGCACCCCAGATCTCTGGCTTCAGGGCCACAACAGTGAACAGAGGTAGCAAGCAGACAGGCGTTTGTCCGGTCTTGGCCAAGGCCAAAGAGGAGTGTTCAGGCCCACATCCACATGCTCTGCCTTCCTTAACATCCTCAAGGTTGGGTCCCACGCTTCACCAGCCCCAGGTAGCACTGTGTCCTCTTGCCTCAGAAGCCTTAGTAGCTGTCATGCCCACGGAGGAAGACTGGGCCCTTCTCATGTGGATACCTCAGGGCCCCTGAGCTCTAGACTTGTGCCCAGCAGGGCCAGACTCAGCATCCCTTGGGCACCAGGAGCTGGTGGTAGGGCAGGCAAAAGTGAGACCACAGCAACTCAGGCCCCCTGCCAGAGTGGAGCTTGGGCTCCCACAGATTCACACAAGCCTACACATGCCCTCATACCTGTACACCAGGAGTGCACGGGTGCCTATATGCACCATAGACAAGCACAAGGCTACAGGCCTGTTCTGACTGGACATCTGGTAGTGGTTCCTGCCCTGCTACTCTCAAAGGGATCTTTCCCAGCCTGGTGGGCACAAGCCTTGTGCTGGCCAACCTATGGCAGGTCTTGGTAGTTTCTAAGACAACCCTTCCCTTCCCCTACCTCCAAATGGAGCAGCTCTAATCACCACCTTCCCTTTGAAACTCCAGGCTTCCAGCCCCTTAGGACTCCCTCCATCCCCAATACCCTTTGAGGTGGAGGAGATAGGGACAAGACACAGTCCCAGGGAGGCCTCTTTCTTGGGCATCCAGGTTCCTCCACTGTGAGGTCTCATGGAGAACCTAGTTGCTGGGACAGGGTGGGAGGCCCAAGGAGGCCCAGGGACACTTCTGCTCAGACTTTAACACATGGTAGGTACAGGCTTGTGCTCACACATATGTAGACTCCCCTCTCAGGAAGAGCTCCCAGGCCAGGGTGAGGGCTGAGGAAGGGGGTGGCTCAGGTCCCCCAGGCTGCAGTGTGGCCCTGTGCAGTGTCTCATTCATTGCTCGATCTCTAGGCTGCCAGGCAGCTGCAGAGGCTCCGGGGTCTTGAAGCTGAGGACTTCCTGGTAGGTGAGCTCTGGGAGTGAAGGAAAAGGTGAGCTTGTGCCACCTCAGCCCCTCCCTCTGGGAGCAGCCTCCACCCAGCTGCCCTGGGCTGACCCCCACGTCCATGCTGGGAGTAGCAGGAGATCTCCTGAAGAAACAGGTGAATCCTCACTCCAGCAGAAACAGCCCTTAGGCCCTAGGCACGGCCCCTCCTCTCCATGGCTGCCCTGTGCCCACCCTTCCATTCTTCCAGTGTTCGGTCCTTGGTTTCAACGCTTTCATCATAGGGCTCGGCTTCCGGCTCATCATCTGGGTCATGGTACTGGCTGAAGTATGCATGGGCCAGGGCCTCTGCGGCACTGACCCTCTGGTCACTGTCCAGCACCAACATTCTCCCAAGCAGGTCTACAGCTGTAAGGGGCCAATGGAAAGGGTCAGCTCCACATCTTGGGTCAGAGGTGGAACCCAGCCTAGCCCCAGGGCCAGTCCTCACCCAAGGGGTTGGCTCCATGGAAGATGCTGCTGAGATCCTTCTGGGGCATGGGGGGCAGGGACTGGATGTATGTCCGGGCCTGGGGGTACATAAGGAAGGCCTGGAGGGCTGCTTGACCCCTACCTCCTTGGCCAGAGAACCCTGATTTCACTCACTCCAAAAGTCTGGGCAGAAGCCAGAGAGACCAGAGACCACCTCCTGGGACCTGTGGCTCAGTTCCTCACTGGGGCCCAGAGGCCTGCAGGAGCAGGATCCAGAGTACTCTTTGCCCCACCCACCCTGCTGCTATTAGCTAGAACATTTTGTGGGTGCTGTGACTTTGCCCTCACTGACCCTCACACCACTAACACTCTCCCCTTTCACCTGTTCCCCTGAAAGGGTTGGGTGCCTAGCCTGGGCCTATTCAACACTGCCCATGTTCCCCATATGGTGCCCATCCATCTTCATGCCCCACAGCCTCTTCCTGGTTATCAAAGGTGGATAGCTGGACACAGACTTACATGCTCTGAAGATATCTTTGCCAGAACCTCAGGACTAGGTGTCCCTACCACCTCCATGATGCGCTTCAGCTGGTCAATGTCTACATGGCTCAGGAAACACCTACTGACCAGCCATGGACCTTCACCAGCCCCCAACCCCTGGGGCGTGGGGAACTGCACAGAGAGCAGGGAAATGAGGGTAGCATGGCAAAGGACAGACAAACAGGCCACAGCCCACTCCCACCCTGTAGAAAGAGACTCCAGCTTGCCCTGCTCCCCAGCCTGGGCCAAGGATACAATCAGTTCCGGGGAAGAGAGCCTTTCCCTGGAGCAGTTCAGCCATGATGCAGCCCACAGACCAGATGTCCACTGTGAGGAAAGGTGGGAAGGCTGCGTCAGTCTGCCCACCTTCAGTTCCTCCTTGGAGCTAGGAGGAGCCAGCCCCATGACCCAGAGTCACACACAAACCCATGATAGAAGAGCCCTTCCTCCTGTTCCCAGCCTGGAACAGAGGGAAGAGTGAACTCAGGTCCCAGGAGTAAGAGACACCCACCATGTTACAGGCTCCTCTGAAAACCAGGTAACCTTGCCTGTGCCCTAAGACTGGGCATGCCTTCCGGGGTCCTCAGGCTTTGAGCTCACTCCCCTAGTCTGTGCCCAGCCTGCAGAGGCTCCCAGCATAGGTTGGACTGCACCTGTCTGGTTATAGTGCATCCAGTTCAGCATGATCTCTGGTGCGCGGTACCAGCGTGTGGCCACATATCCGGTCATCTCCTCGTCTGCCTGGCGTGCCAGCCCGAAGTCCAAGATCTGGGGGGACCACAAGCTCAAACTCTGCGAGCAACCCCCCTCACCCCCCAGCCCAAGCGCCCCTCACCCTGAGCTCGCAGTCTTCATTCACTGCCACGTTGCTAGGCTTCAGGTCCTGCAGGGTGGGCGGGGCGTGAGCACAGGCAGAGCACCCCGGGACCCACACCCACGACGGCACCTACCCGGTGGATGATCCCAGCCGAGTGGATGTACTGCAGGAAGGAAGGCTGCGGTGAGCCCAGCCCACAATGCCAGGACCCAGCCCAAGTCTGTGCCCTCACCTTCAGCCCACGTAACAGCTGGTACACGAGGAACTGGACGTGCTCGTCGCTCAGAGCCTGGCACTTAACGATGTTGTTCAAGTCGGCGCCCATCAGGGTGGTCACTAAGTACCTGCGGCAGGGTCAGGAATCAGGTCAAGGCCGACCGCCCCTCCCCGACCGGGATGCCTGAGCTGGAGCTGCCTTCTGGGCTGGCTCACACTTCGCTGAAGTCCTCAATGCAAGTGGCTGGGGTGAAGACGTCCAGGAGCCCGATTACCTACACAGGTGGAGAGGCGGGCCAGGGTTCAGCCCCAGGCCCCGCCTACGTTGGGCTCAAGGGCGTGTTGGCTCCACCCCACCGCACTGGCTCTGCCCTGTAGCTCGGTGCGGGACACGCATTGATTTCTCTCGGCCACGCCCTCCACCAACCCGTCTCCCATTGGTCCATTTGGGCGCGCCCCCCCAACTCACCCCTAGGTCCCGCCCTTAGGTCTACCCCACAGGCCAAGGCCTCACATTCTCGTGCTTCAGGTGCTTGAGCAGCCGCAGCTCACGGTACGTCCTCCGTGCGTGGATTAGCGACTGGAAGGGACGAGACAGCTTCTTCACCGCCACTTTCTGCCGCAACCGCGCGTCATAGGCCGAACTGCAAGGGGGGCAAGTGAGGAGATAGATGGTGCTCGGGCAGGCTGGGCCTTGGTGCCCATCCCAACTGCCCCCAGCTCACCATCTGCTCCGCGCCCCACCTTCTCGTCCTTTGGACCCACGCCAGGCTTCGCTGTGAGATAGCGACTGGCCCGCCCACTCGTTGCACCTTGTGGACTGGGGAGGCTTAGCAAGAAATTGTAAAGCACCCTCAAGTCCTCTGGGCCCAGTGGTTCTGCATTTTTCAAAATACAGGGAGACCAGCCAGAGGTGGTTTTTTTGTTTTTGTTGGAACCGGAAATTGAACTCAGGCCCTTGCGCTTGCCGGGCAAGCACTTATTCCACTGAGCCATCTCCCCCGCCCCAAAGTGGTGTTTTGAGCCAGGTTTCATTATGCCACCCAGGTTGGCTACAGGGACGTTCCAGAATAACTGGGCACACAGGAGTGCACCACCATGCCAAATAGATGATAACTGCACCCTCATTTGTAGTATTCCTACTGGACAGCAAGCAGTATCTAGCTGAGGTGGCCTCTGGCTCCACTCCCCAGGGCTTTGTCCTCCTCCTCTGCAGGCCTCCTATCTGTCCTCGATTCCCTCCCTGCTCCTCCAAGGCAAACACGGCAAGGTCCCCCGCCCTACTTCAAATCCCACTGCATTCAGGATCAGCACACAGCTATGAAGCAGGTGAGGGAGGGGTTCCTGGGCTGATGCTTGTCCCTCTGTCCCTCCTGCTTGTCTTCTGCCCTGGAGCACAGGGGCTGGTGGAGGGAAGACAGCTCGGGCCATGAGCCAACAGGGAAAGGTTGAAGTCCCTGCTGGGGCATGGGGTGAGGGCTCAGCCGCTGGTAGGGTGCAGGGGGCCCTTTTGCCTCATTTTGTCTGTAGTCAGGTGACCAGGAAATACCCCCAACACCTGAGCAGTGAATCGTAGTAAACAGAAGCAGGGATGCAGAGAGACAGCTCCACCTCACGGGGGAATCTTACCCCCAGGGAACTCCCAGGTGAGCCCTTGCTGGCCATTGTCATGTTGCCAATACAGATCTTAAACCCTTAGAAAGGTTCTTTCCCCTGCCCTCGAGGTCTTAGAGATGGACAGCTGCCCTGGCCTGCCTGAGGTTCTAGTGGCAGGCAGGTCCTAGCTGGGCCTCCAGGGGTCTGAAGGAAGCCGTTCCTCAGGCTCTTCTGACACCCGTGCCTTTCTGCCCCACCATGCCCACCTTGGGCAGCAGCCACCTGGCACTGGCCCCTTAGGAAACCCACAGTGCTGGGATCCCATCTCAATGTCCACACCCTTGCTCAACCTCTCTGCAAACATTACAGCTGCAAACTGAGATTGTGCACTAGTCCTGCAACCTGGGTGCAGAGGAGGGGGCAGACCTCACCCGAGTCCTGTGCCCTAGCACCTGAAGATTCTAGGGCACCTTTGGCTAAGGCAAAATTAGGGTGGGGTGTAGACGCCCCCTAAAGATTGCAGGGGGAAAGGCAGGCCTCGCTCTGCCAGGCCTAAACCGAGTGTGGAGTCTTGAGTCGCCTAAAAAAGTGGGGCGGAGGCGGGACCCGCGGGAAGCTATCCTAGGGGAGGGGTCCTGACTCCCTCCGCCAGGCTCTTCCAAACAATAGCACTTGCCCTGGTTAGGGGCACCGCTAGGCCCGACGACGATCTGGCCCTGGTCGGAGAGAAACAAGGGTGGCTGCTCAGGGCCTGGCTCCGCTGTGAGCCCAGGCTTGCTCCTAATACAGGGACCCTTGGAGGAGAAGGGGGGCTGCGTGGGAAGGAAAGTTTCCCGCGCACATCGTCCCCCCATTCATTCGCCGCGGTGCACGGACCGGGTCAGAGACGAAGCGGCCCCTCCCCACGCGAGCCCCCTCTCCACTCCGGGACCCCCTCTCTGTGGGGGACCCCTCTCCACTCCTGGACCCCGCCCCACGCGGGGGCCCCTTCCCGCGCCGCCATCCCTCCCCACAGCGGATTCCTCTCCACGCGGGACCCCGCCTGGCCCTACCAGACCGAGCCGTAGGCGCCCGATCCCACGGGGCGCAGGCCCTGCAACCGCTGCGGCACCTCCCACACTGTCTTGTTCAGCTCTTGCCGGTAGAAGCCGGCCCGCGGGCCCGACATGGCCGAGCCCCGCCTGGCCGCGCCGGGAGCCGAGCAGGGGGGCGGCGCGGGGCGGGGCGAAGCGCTGGGCGGGGCCGCGGCGAGCGGATTTCCCGGCCGCGCGGGGTTCCCGGAGGCCGACGCGTGGCTCCGCCCCTCTGTCCTCGCGTCTGAGTCTGCCCTCAAAGCCGGGCCCCTCAGACGAAGGTGTGGTGTGGACAGTGGCCGCGAGGGGTACGGGTCGCGGGGTCCCGCTGGGTCTCCCCGCGTCAGGACCAGGGACAGCGGCGCCGCCAGGGCGTCTGGGGCGTGGCGCCGCACAGGGCGGTCCCCTCCTGGGTCGTTGTCACCTCCTCTGGGAAGCCCGCCCGGACTTTCCCGGTCCTGGAGCGCGCTGGGGTTCCGTCCTCTCAGCCCGGGGTGGACAGCCGTGTCCAGGGACGGAGGCGACTTCTGGCTTAGCCTAGCCGTGGCTCCTGGCTGCGCCCTGGAGGGAAGTGTCTATAGCTGGGTTGCCCCTTCAGAAAAGCGGAAAAGCAGTCTGAGTTTTCATGTGAGATCTGACTTGACTGTATTGTTTTGTCCTGGTGTTGAGGATTAAACCCAGGGTCTCCCCACTAAACTACACCCATACAACCTGTTCTGTTGCTGCTGTTTACTTATTCTTGGTGTTTTATGACAGGATCTCGCTATGTAGTTCAGGATAGCCTTGAACTAGGTAGCCCAAGCTGACCTCACACTTCAGGGGATCCTCCTCCCTTGGCCTCCTCAGTGCTGGGCTTACAGGCATGGACGACCATGCCATTGTTATTTTTGAGACAGGATGTGATTAAATTGCCCAGTCTGTACTCAAACTTGCAATCCTCCTGCCTCAGCCTTCCAGAGTGCTGGAGTGAGTGACGTGCAGAACACTGTCATTCTCTTTTGTGGAGGCTGAAGCCAGGAGCTCACACATGCCACACAGCAGCTCTTCCACCCAGCCACCCTCCCCGTCACCCACCATTTAATTCTGAGACTTCGTGCTAGATTGCCCACGTTGGTCTGCATCCCTGAACCCTACGGGCCAGGCTTCAGTATTCTCAAGGTGTTACTGCTAGGGTACTGCTGCTCACAATCATTTGTTGTTAAAATAATAGAACAGGGGCCGCGAGATAGCTCAGCAGACGAAAGCACCTGCTTAGGCAAGCTTAGGCAAGCACAGGGACCGCGGTCCGATCCCAGCACCACATGCTGACAGGCTGAGCTGGCCAGTCTGGGTGTGGTGGTGCAGGCCCGTAATCCCAGCGCTGGGAAGGCTGAAAAGAGGAGAAGCACTATGAGTCCTAGCTGTGTAATGAGACCCTATAACAACCAAATTAAAAAATAGTAAATAAAAAAGTAATAATAAAACTTAAAGGGCTGGTGAGATGGCTCAGTGGTCTAAAGCACCTACTTAGAACAAGCTTAGCAAAGCACAGGGACCGCGGTTCAATCCCCCAGCACCACATGCCAGCCAGCCCCGCCCCCTGGTGGGCTGAGCTGGCCACACACACACACACACACACACATAAATAAATAAATAAAATAAAATTAAAAAAAAAAAAAAGAAAAGAAAACTTAAAAATCAGTAACCAAATTAAAACAAGTCAGGTCAGTCCTGGGCCTATGCCCATTCACCAAGAGTCTGGACCTCAAGGCAAAAAAAGCCATTCCAGGTCCTGTCCCTCTAGTCCCTTTCCTATGACCTTGACCAAGCCACCCCAGGCCTCAGGTCCCTCAAGAATCCAGTTGGTCCGGGGAACTAGGCAGAGCCTGAGCATGGCCCGATGCCTGCTGCCCAGCTCCCGCCTTCCTGGGGGTTTCTGCCTGAGTACTCTCCCTGGGGGGCATGCATTTCATTTGGAGTTGATGGAGGACACTGAAGGGCCAGGAGTGGCTCATTGGTGGGAAGCTCTTCAGGCCTCAGGGGAGGGAGCAGCTTTTGAGAAGGGGGCAAACCCATGGCATGTAGGCTCCCAGGGGTTCAGCAGGGCCTTCCAGGCTGCACCCTGGGTCTCCCCAGTGGTGGGGAAATGCTTGCCCCCTGAAGGGAGCCCCCTCTGTGCCTGTCAAGTTCTGGTGGTCAGGGCTGAGCACTGCGGCAGCCTCTGCAAGATGCACGGGTCCAGCCCAGTTCAGCAGCCTGGCTGAGGCACACCTGCATCTTCTGAGGATGGTAAGGGCTAACACTGCAGGACTCACAGAGCGACCATGAAGGTCAGGGTGTGGCGAGTGTTGGAGGTCCTCAACTCTAACCCTAACAGGAAGGTGGCCCAGTGGCACAGCTAGGGAACAGGGCTGAGCTTGCAAAGTGTGGCCTGAGGTGGGGTGCAGCCAGCAAGGCAGAGGGCAGGCAGCTGTGGTGCAAAACCTCCCACCAAGGGGCCCGTCTCTGCGCTCCTGTCACCCCCATCCCTCTCCATGTCCGCAGCACCTGCACAGTCCATGGCCCCTCTCAGCCCCTCCTGGCTGTGCCTGTGCTTGTGGTCAGCATGGACTTCCTGGAAGACCAATCTGGGGCGTCAAACTGATTTAGGAGGTGTTTTTATTTTTATTTAGTTTTTTTTTTCTTTTTTTTTTGCAGAACCAGGGATTACATTCAGGCCCTTGCACTTGCCAGGAAAGCGCTTATTCCAGAGCCATCTCCCTGGCCCCTTACTTTTTTCAGACAATGTCTCACTACATAGTTTAGGCCAGCTGATGTAGCCAGGCTGGACTCAGACTTGGGGTGGCCTTTCTGCCTCAGCCTCCCAAGTGCTGGGATCAGTGTGCACTACCACACACAGGTTAGGTTCAGGGATGTTTCTAGAAAGGATATTAAGGCTACTGACAGCTCCTTGTCATCACTGCTCTCCTCCTCCACTGGGAGGAAAATGAGAAGAGGGACATTAGAGGAACACGTCACCCTGGTCTGCTAGCCTTCTGCCCTTTTTGTCTGGCCTGGTCTCTCCATACTCTCCCTGTCCTCCAAGGGGTGTGGAGGAGAGGGCCCCAGCATGTGTGGGGTCTCTCTAATGTCTGTGGGAATACACAGGGGTCCAGTGGGGAGTCCTGTAGGGTCTGGAGGCCCCAGCTTAGCACAACTTAACCATGCCCCCCTCACTCCTGCTGGCTTGGCGACGCCTTGTCCCAATTTTGAGGTACCAAGGAGAGCAGGCCGCAGCATTAGGTCGTCACAAGTGGGGCTCAGGAGCCCGTCAGCAGCTTCGTACCCTTCCCTAGGGAAGACAACAGTCCTGGTCCATGTGGTTTCCCTGAGGCCACCCTGATGCACATGGGTGCACGGTCCACAGTAGCTGTTCTGCTGAGACTCCCAGCCGCAATGACACATCCCCAGAGGGGACACAGGTGAGGATCTGAGGATGCAGCAGTTCTCATCCAGCCACAAGGATGTGTAGGAGGGCCTGGGCCACCTGCTGCTCAGGGGGAGGTTCTTGGAGCAGTAGGGACACTGAGGGCAGACCGTGTCCTGTGCTCCGCTGGGCATCAGCCCACTTGTGGGGTGAGTGAGGCCAGAAGCCTCACCAGCCAAGGTACCATTGGAGCTGAGGCCACAGAACATGGGGCCTGCTTGCTCCTGAGAGGAAACTGACCTCCAGTGACCTTTCAGAGCTGCCCTGGTGGTGGGCAGGCTCTGCAAACATTAGGAGCCTCCTAACCAAGTGCTTTGAGGCAATGCCTCTCACTCCCATCAGGAACAGAATCTGAGAGTAGCGGAAAGACAGGTCACACCCTACCGGCCCCACCCAGTCCCATCAGCCCATCCCAAGGCGAGGTGGGCAGCCATCTGGGCCACCTCAGGGCACCAGAGCTGGCCCAGTTCCCATGCCAGCCAGGCAGCTTGGCTCTCTCCCACGGAGGAACCACCTTCCTGCCAGTGGTGCCCAAGTAGGAAGGCTGAGAGGCACAGAGAAGCAGGGACTAGAGAGGTGAGGAGGTCACATAGGCAGCTTCAGTACAAATTCAGCCAACAACAGAGTGAAAAAGACAGATGTGTAATGGATTTATAATTAACAAAATTTACAAAAAGGATGAGGTGGTCCTGGTGGAGTTGGCTTAGGGGAGCCTCCAGACAGCCTGTCTGACAGGCTGGGACCATGACTCCCCATCTGCTGGGTCCTGCTGGCCATGTGGCCCCGACGTCTGACGTCCAGTTTGACCTTAGAGGTGGAGCCTGGCAGCTTTGCGACCCGCGGGGAGGCCAGGTGAGGTCAGAAGGCATCGTACCGCTTTTTCTCCTCCTCCTATCTGGCAGACAGGCAGATGCTCAGTCCAGGAACCTGCCCTGGGGGCTGCAGGCACTCGACCCACCTTGGGAGCCACGCCCAGGGCATTCGCAGAGGGTGCTGGTGCTCTGGCAGGGGAGGCCACGGCCCCACGGCACGCAGTGGCCCAGTATGGCCTTGTAAGGCACATTTGGGAATCCTCAGGAGACGAGCACAGCGATGCTAGTGCCACAGGAGAGCTGGTGCTGGAAACCGGGCTGTACTGCTCAGGAGGAAGATGCTACCATCTACAGCAGGAGTGGGCCTGCTGTGCTCCATGCCTGGGCGCCTCTGCCACACCAGGGGGACATCCTGGGGGTCGCCTCATGACAGACACAAGCCATACACCTGCGCCTGGAAGCTCGGACGGTCAGAGGTCAGTGACCTTGTTCTCCAGTGCTGCCGCAACCTGCTGCAGGCGGAAGGCCAGCTGCATCTTCTGGGCGGCAGGGTCCTCCTCCAAGGCGTTGATGATCTGCAAGGGACACTGGTGAGACCTGAGGCACAGAAAGAGGCTGCCCGTGTACCTGCTGGGTCCCAGACGCACCTCATCATAGTACTTCTGTGTGTACTGGTAGAGCTGGTGCAGGGCCACCAGGGTGTTCAAGGAGTCCGTGTGTGCCTAGGGGACAACAGTGTCACCAGGATGGAAAAGCAGCAGCAGCAGCAGCGACACCATGGCTGCAGGAGGGTGGCACAGCCAGGGCCTCACCTCTGAGCTGCTCACCCTGCCAGCTCGCTTCACACAGAGCTCAGCTCCCTCGCCT